ATCCATGTTGTTCAAGGGTCAACTGTATTAGAAAATAGACTTTAACAATACATTAAAAGGATCGTACATCATGATCACAAGTGGGATTTATTTCAGGGATGCAAGGATGGCTCAAAATCAGCAAATCAGTCAATGTGATACATTACATTAACAAAATGAAGGATAACAATCATGATCATCTCAACAGATGTGGAAAAAGCATTTGACAAAATTCAACATCCATTCATGATAAAAAAAACTTTCAACAAAGCAGGTACAGAGGTAATGTATTTCAAAATAAAAGCTACCCATATATGACAAGTGCACAGCTAACATCATACTCAATGGTGAAAAGCTAAGAGCTTTTCCTTTAAGATCAGGAACAAGACTCACCATTTTTATTTAACATGGTACAGTAACGCAATACTTAATGACGGGTATGTATGTTCTGAGAAATGTGTCACTAGGCGATTTTGTCATTGTGCAAACATCATAGAGTATATTTACACAAACCTAGATGGTACAGTCTATTATCAACTAGACAATATGGTATAGCTATTGTTCCTAGGCTAAAAGCCTGTACAGCATGTTACTGTACAAAAGAACAGGCAATTAAATCAAACACAAAAGAAAATGATACAATCAAGAATGAGGTAAACACAAGATGTAGGAGGATGCTGCCGGTAAAACACAACACACTGTTTTACAGCAAACTTCTTTTTATGAGTAGAAAGAATACACTCTAAAATGAAAGTATAGCATAGTAAATAATATAAACCGGTAACAGTTGTTTATTAGTTATTATGTACTGTACATAATTATATATGCTATTCTTTTATACAACTAGCCGTGAAGCAGTTTGTTTACACCAGCATCACCACAAACACATAAGTAACACATTTCACTACAACATTATGACAGCTCAGACATCACCAGGCAACAGAAAATTGTCAGCTCCATTTTAATCTTATGAGACCACCCTAATATACATGCTGGTCTTTCATCAACTGAAACATCATTTTGCAGCATGTGACTGTATGCACTGTTAGCCCTACATATAGCAAGAGGGAGAAAAAGCTTCTGAACTGGAAAGAAGTAAAACTGTCACTATTTTCAGACAACACAGTACATAGGAAACCCTAAAGATTCCACCAAAGCCCTGGCTGGTTTGGCTCAGCGGTTGGAGCCACCCGGGTTCGGTTCGGAGAGACCCGGGTTCGGTTCCCGCTGAGGGCATGTACCTCGGTTGCAGTCTGTCCCCGGCCCTGGTTGGGTCGTGTGGGTGGCAACCACTTGATGTGTCCCTTTCACGTCGATGCCCCCCGCCCCCTTCCCACTCTATCTGAACAAAATATCAAAGAACGTCCCGGGTGAGGATAAAAAAAAAAAAAAAAGGAGTCCACCAAAAAATTGTTAGATTAAATTAATTCAGTAAAGTTGCAGACTATAAAAAACCAACACACAAAAATCTGCTGCATTTCTACACATTAATAATGAACTATCAGAAAGAGAAACTAAGAAACAATCCCATTTGCAAATGCATCAAAATATTACAATTAGAAAGCTCTCCAAGACCTTATTTTACAGATAAATAAACCAAAATACAGAGAGATTAAGTAATGTACTTGCTGAAAACCAGACAGCCATAGTCATACTTATACCAGAACTAGTGCTCCTGCCTCAGGGGTTTTCCCACTCCACTCCCTGCCTGCCTAAGACAGAACTTTTTTTCTACCCAAGAAAAACCTAATACTTTTTACCTAAGGAAAAAATATATACAGTATTTGTTAATTGGCAAAAACAAACAAACAAAAACATGAGCATTTTTTACCACTCTATCTGTAGAATGTCCTCATGTAATAATGTTAATGATATATAAATTGTCATTACTCAAACCATTATACAGAGAAGTTGTAAATATATATACACATAAGTTTTAAACAGACCAATTCTCTCTCCAGAGAGAATAATCATTATTCTACATTACAAAAATATTTAAAAGAATTGTTGTTATGCCCTGGCCGGTTTGGCTCAGCGGTTAGAGCATTGGCCCACGGTCCATAGAGACCCAGGTTCGGTTCCCACTAAAAGCACATACCTTGGTTGCAGTTTGTCCCTGGCCCTGGTTGGGGATGTGCAGGAGGCAACCACTCAATGTGTCCCTTTCATGTCGATGTTTCTCTCCCTCTCTCTCTCTCTCTCTCTCTCTCCCTCCCTCCCTCTCTCCTTCTCTCCCTCCCACTCTATCTGAATAAAGATGGAAAAATGTCCTTGGGTGAGGATAAAAAATAAATTTAAAAAATTTTAATTAAAAGAAAAAAGAATTGTTATAAGTATATACAAAGAACAAATTAAGAATCAGCTTCAACAGATACTTTTCATGTGATCTATTACTTATTAAAGCAAATATGGAGTTCTTTGCCTCTTAGTCAACTCATAACCCTCCTACACAGTATTCACTATTAACCCTATTATATAAGAATAAACTAAAATTTGTTCTCTAAATACACTCCATAGCTAGTGAAATGTGAAGATAAAATTTGTACCCAGGTCTGCCTAAATCAAAGCCACATTTTATTGTTGTTGTATGCAAGTGTTTCCAGAATGGGCCACAGAATGTGGTAAAACTGTTGGAGAACTGATGAAGAGGAATTAAACTTCTGAATGCAGAGTACATTTAGCAACCTCTTCCATCCTATCAAGATACCATCTTTCCCTAAATATAAACCTTAGAAACTGAGTCTCTAATGAACTTTCTTGGTAGAGAGTATTTCACATGTGTTGTCACAACCTTTTCCTGGGGAAATCCAGTGTGACCTAGTGACCCCACTAGGACAGTCCTCTTGGAAGTTTGTGCTTGGTTTCCACTGGACTTTGCCCATGTGCCTTTTTCCTCTGCTCATTTTGCTTTGTACCCTTTTACTGCAATAGATCACAGCCTGAGTGTAACAACAAGAAACGACACAATCTTGAATGGGTTCACTAGTCAGGCTAATATTTGAAAAGCATACAAATTCAGGTCTAAAATTAATTTTGTGCATTACTGTTTTCTCTAGAAGTTCATCAAATGTTCTTCATGTAATCTGGTGTTTTTTAAAAATGCAAATGGAAGAAAGAACCAATGCTTAATTTCAAGAAACGTAGCATCTCAAGTTTTCTTAAAAAGATAAAAGCCAACCCTGGCCAGTTTGGCTCAGCGGTTAGAGCATCGGCCTGCGGACCAAAGAGTTGCAGGTTCAATTCTGCCCAAGGGCACATACCTCGGTTGCAGTTTGTCCCCAACCCCTCTGGGACTGTGCAGGTGGCAACCAGTCAATGTGTCTCTCTCACATCAATGTTTCTCTCTCTCTCTCCCTCTCTCTCTCTCTCTCTCTCCCCCCTCCCTCCCTCCCTCCCACTCTGCCTGAAGATAAATGTAAAAATATCCTTGGGTGAGAATTAAAAAAAAAAAAAAGAAAGCCACAAAAAAGACAAAAGCCAGAAGAGACAAAACTGCTTGCATTATATAAAAACAAAATTGTTTTATAGACTTAATATATACAATGATGGCCCGGCTGGTGTGGCTCAGTGGTTGAGCAGCAACCCATGCACCAAGAGGTTGCTGATTTGATTCCCGGTCAGGGCACATGCCCAGGTTGTGGGCCTGATCTCCAGTGGGGGACATGCAGGAGGTGGCCAATCGATGTTCTCTCTCATCCATGTTTCTCTCTCTCTCTCTCCCTCTCCCTTCCTCTCTCTCTAAAATCAATAAAGAAAAAATATTAAATAAAAAACAATGATGGAAGTAGAGCCAAAAATATTCACTAAAAAAAACCCACTTCATTGAATATATTTCATTACTAAACTCCCTCTCATTATTTTCATTCTCTTAACTATGACCACCATTGTTTCTACTTCTAAAGTCATTCTTAATTCTATGAGCTTCTGAAGGCATGTTTCCCCAGACTAAAATACATATACCTTAAAAGTTAATTCAGTTTACTTCTTATTGTATTTTCAAACATATCAATTTATTTTGTGTGCCCAAAATAAAAAAATATAAAGATGAAGATATATAGAGAGTAGGGAAGGATGATGAATAAAAAGCTGTATCATGAATAAGCAAGTTACTCATTCCTAAAAGAACATTTTGACAGAATCCTAGGCTGCATTATTATACCAAACATCTGAAGATCCTGTATATTCTGCCATCTGAAAGCAAGGATCCTTTCAGCATCAAGTTTTAAAGAGTGTTGCTTATTTCATAATCCAGTCAAATATAATAGCAACAGTACCATTACTATCACTGCTTATGCTTCTGTTCTTGAGTCACATGAACACTGGCAGCAACATATTGTGACAAGAGATCCTTCCTGTTTCTTAATACAGTCTTTAATCTTTACCTTCTTTTCTACTTGTAACTGGATATATATTCATATTCCTCAAAATAGTTGATTTCATCTGGATTACCTGATACAAGAACATCTGACAAAATATGGACTGACTGACATAGGTATAATAATTACTAAAGATATTTTACCTAAACATCTTCAAACACTTTTGAGAAGTAATTTCTATCATGTAATGTCTGACAGATAATGCATAAACATTAATCATTTAATAAAAAAAAAAACCTTCCACTTTTTCCAAAGTAAAGTTTAAGTCCTCAGGAAAAGAAACAAAAGGGAAAAAAAATAGTCTGGATGATTAACATCTCTGGTCCCTTGTCCTTATTGACAATGTCAGTTTTATTATCAATGTAACTATTAGAATACTCTTCTCCATTATTTTACATTCTCTTGCTTTTAATTTTTTTTCTTTATTGATTTTGAGAGAGAGAGAAAGGGAGATGGAGAGAAATATCCATGAGAGAGAACATCGACTGGCCACCTCCTACATGCCCTCCCAACTGGGGATTGGGCCCACAACCTGGGCACGTGCCCTGACCAGTAATTGAACCGGCGACCTCTTGGTACATGGGTTGACGCTCAACCACTGAGCCTGGCAGGCTACATTCTCTTGCTTTTAAAAGATCAAAATCTGTGCCTGCATTGGCAGCACACAGAGTAAAATTGGAACAATACCAAGAAGATTAGCAAGGCCCCTGTGCAAGGATAACATGCAAATTCATGAAGTGATCCCCATTTTTATAGAGAAAAAAGGGACATCTGTAATACTTTCAACAAAAAAGATAAATTTTAAAAAGAATTAAAAAAATCAAAATCTATGAATAATTCCATTTTCTTAATAGCTTAACAGTCTTGACCGAAACAATTCATTCAGGTTGGACTGTCACCTATGTGGCCTACTTTCTTTTTTATTTTGCATTTATCTTCAGATAAAGCAGGAGGGAGAGAAGGAGGGAGAGAGAGAGAAACGTCAATGCGAGAGAGACACAACGAGCAGCTGCCACCCACACAACCCCAACCGGGGCCAGGGACAAACTGCAACCAAGGTATGTGCCCTTAGCAGGAACCGAACCCAGGACTCTCCAGTCCGCAGACCAGAGCTCTAACCGCTGAGCCAAACCAGCCAGGGCTGGCCTACCTTCTTTTTGAAAAATTAAGTCCCACACAGATTTGCAGCTCCTGATAAGGCCTACCTAAAATCTTCTCACTAATGTGGAAAATTCTAGTTTTTCTTCTCTACCTTCTCCCCATTTATGAATTTATCCTTAACTTTCCCCCAATAAAATGTACTAATCATTAATATGGACATGCTATATAAAATTAAATGGAAGTTCTTTGCCTAAGAAGAAAGGGGCCAAAGGAAGTATTTTTAGATAAGATTGCACATTGGTAACCGTCTTGAATCTTGAAACTGTTTTCAGTAGAGAGATGTGGATTTTTGACTCTCTGTATATATCTATTTAATCTAAAATGCCAAAATCTGCCCTGGCCGGTTTGGCTCAGCGGTTAGAGTGTCAGCCTGCGGTCTGGAGAGACCCGGGTTCGGTTCCCGCTAAGGGCACATACTTCGGTTGCAGTTTGTCCCCGGCCTTGGTTGGTCGTGCGGGTGGCAGCCACTCGATGTGTCCCTTCACATCGATGTTTCTCACTCTCTCTCCCTTCCTCTCTCTCCCTCCCACTCTATCTGTACAAAAAAAAATAAATAAATAAAAAAAATAAAATGCCAAAATCTATTTTAATAAATATTCCACAGTGAAAAGCTTGACTTAGTATATATACACACAAAAAATGGTTGTACAAGACTCACATGGAAAAAGGCTTTATCACTTTAATCACACCCATTTTACTTTTAAAAAGTAGCACAATTCTAGTAGCTCTCAAAAAATTGTTAGGAATTAGTCCATATTATTTCATCATTTTTATTTTAATGTATTCTCTTTCCAGTACAGAAAACAGATCCAGATATAGAATCTAACATATTATTATAAAAATATTGCTAACATTTCCAAGAGGTAAAGAATAACTAAAATTTTTAGTACAATGACCACTGAACATAGGTGATATATTAATTAAACCTTTTTAAAAAGAAGTACTAATTATATTAAATAATCATAGAAAAATGACCAGCTTAAAGGTTTTTTCAATAAGTATTCCCAAAGGTTTGTGAACTTCTTTTTTTTTTTTTTTTTATCCTCACCCGAGGACATTTTTCCATTTTTTGTTCAGATAGAGCGGGAGGGAGAGAGAGAGAGAAACATCGATGTGAAGGGACACATCGAGTGGCTGCCACCCGCACGACCAACCAGGGCCGGGGACAAACTGCAACCGAGGTACATGCCCTTAGCGGGAACCGAACCCGGGTCTCTCTGTACCGCAGGCCGACGCTCCAACCACTGAGCCAAACCGGCCAGGGCAGGTTTGTAAACTTCTTAATGCCTTCTCATAATTAAAGTACTCACTTTATTGTGATCAGATAAAGCTAATCGATGTCCATTTATGTAAGTTAAACTTTGTCAGCTTCCTTAATAGCTGAGTGAAAATTCACATAACCTAACATATATAATGAGATAAGTATTTATATCATTAGTCAGTCAATTTAAAAAGCCACATTTCAACACAGGAGCATATTCACAAACATTTATGTTTCTGTCACTTTTTATTGTTAGGTAAGGAGTTTCCCATTTTATTTTGATGGGAATTTCTCCCTATTACCTTTGTTGCACCACCTTCCTATATCTACTAATGAAGTATTTTATCTAAAATCAGTGATGTTTGAAATTACCAAAACAGTAAATACATCATTTTTAAAATTTGCCAAACTGCTTCTACCCCTTCTCAGCAATTAATTATACACTATTCAGCAACTTCCCTTTCAAACATCACACATTTTTAAATATGTATTGCCAACTGCACCAAATCTAAGTCATAATCAGGTTAGAATTGAGAAGGAATTTGGCTAAAGTCCAGGAATCCTGAATCCTGACCTCAATCTACTTTACGTTGATCACCCCTTCACCCCACTTGAGGTCTCTGGGAAGGATATGAATAGAAGAAAAGGCCAGACACCCACACACTGTTACTATAAAGCTTTTGTTACCAACTTCAAAGTCCCCTGTGAACTAAGCTGGTCCGCATGGAAGGCTCACCAAGCTTAAGGCCTAGAATCACTTGGATATTCCTTGCTGTCTTTCCTCTTCTAAGCCTATGCTCAAACCTCAACCAATGGTGAAGAAACAGTTTAGCAACATATGAAGGAAAACTAAGCTAGTGAAACATTTAGTTCAGAAATCCATTTAGCTCTGAATACTGCTGACAAAACTAAAAAAATCAAGAAAAAGGAAAGACATAAACAGGACCATAACGCTGAAGATAAGGGGGCAAGGCATTCTAGGCCAGGGCATTTAAAGAGTAATTATGTTATCATTTATGGTAAGATTATGGGTAAAGAAACCATAATTCTAGCCCTGGCTGGTTTGGCTCAGCAGTTAGAGCATCAGCCCTCGGATGGAAGGGTCTCAGTTTCGATCCCTGGCCCGGGTTAGAGTCATGCTGGATGCCTCTCTCTCACATTGATGTTTCTCTCTCCCTCCCTCCCACTCTATCTAAAAATCAATGAAAAAATATCTTCGGGGGAGGATTAACAAAAAAACAAACAAACAAACAAACACAAAAAACAAAAAGAAATCATAATTCTTTAATGTGACATAAATCAAATAAGCAACCAGCAGTTGGAAACAAAGGAGGGGGCAACTTGGTAAAAACCAAATAGGAAAGTCTAAAAGAAGGGTGTTGCTTTAACGTTTAAGATTAAAGTGCATAGCCCTGGCCGGTTTGGCTCAGCGGTTAGAGTGTTGGCCTGTGGTCCAGAGAGACCCAGGTTCGGTTCCCACTAAGGGCACGTACCTTGGTTGCAGTTTGTCCCCGGCCCTGGTTGGTCATGTGGGTGGCAGCCACTCGATGTGTCCCTTTCACATCAATGTTTCTTTTTCTCTCTCTCTCTCTCTCCCTCCCTCCCACTCTATCTGAACAAAAAAATGGAAAAGTGTCCTCGGGTGAAAAAAAAAAAAAAAGATTAAAGTGCACAGGCTTTTGAATTTCAATCCTGGGTATACCATTCTTTAGCTGAGTGACCATGAATGAAATCCTTACTCTTTACAAATCTTTTTCTCCACCTGTAAAACAGATATTAATATCAAAGGGCTCTTGTCTGGCATATAGTAAATTCAGAATATGTGGTAGCTTTTAATAAAGATTAGCAAACCAAGTAAGTTTCTCCATACTTTAGATATCCCATTTCTTTAAATGTATGAACCACTTTATGGAGGTGGAAAGAGGGAGATGGTACTATACAAAAGATTGTAAAAAAGATTCAATACTGAATATTATGTCTGGGAGTTGCTTCAAAAAAAAAAAAAACCAGTGGGAAGGAAACAATGGTCATTAGTTGATAAAGCGGGTGTTCACTGTACTATTATATTTTTGTATATGCTTGAATCTTTACTAAATGAGAGGGTTTTAAAAATTCCTTTCCTTTTAATTAATATGGTTGGACAAGAAAACAAGTTCTAGCATCGCTTCTAACTCTGACACATCATGAATCTAAAAGATGGAAAGAAAAGTAAAAGAGAACACAAGAATCCTATCCAGTGGGTAGGTATAAAGGAAAATACCTACAAATGACCTAGAAAATATACCTCCATTGATTGGGTTTAGAAAGGGAAGTATTCAGGTAAAAGCTGGCAAATTACCCATGCACTGGGGACAATTAAAAAAAAAAAAAAAGGGTGGAAAACAAAAGAGCATCAAACTGAACACAAGCATGTCTTAATTTAACAAATTCAACCATTCCTTCCTCTACACACATTCTACACTTTAATTTTTATTTTTTGAATTTGTGTAAGTCAATAATTCTAAATGTATTAATATAGCATATACTTATATTAAATCAGATGTGAATTCTGCTGTAAAATGAAATATATTTCTTTGTGGTAAATTCACATTTCCACATGTGGGATTTTCTTTTACTAAGCAAGATATACCCTGGAGATCCTTTTAGGTTTTTCTTCCCCTTTATTTTGTGAATTCATGAGAGAAAAAACATATCTTCACCCTCTGGAAACCTCTAAAGATTCAACTAATGAGCCCTGGCCGGTTTGGCTCAGCAGTCAGAGCGTCAGCCTGCGGTCCACAGAGACCCGGGTTCGGTTCCCGCTAAGGGCATGTACCTTGGCTTCAGTTTGTCCCACGCCCTGGTTGGGTTGTGTGGGTGGCGGCCACTCGATGTGTCCCTTTCACATCGATGTTTCTCTCTCTTCCTCTCTCTCCTTCCCGCTCTATCTGAGTAAAAAATGGAAAAATGTCCTCGGGTGAGGATAAAAAAAAAAAAAAAGATTCAACTAATGAGAGAAATGTACACAATAATAATTTATTAATAATGACCATGATAAAGTAAAATGATTCAGACTTTGTTAAAAATAAGTTAACCGTGAGACTGCATAACAGTCACAAATTATTGAGTATTACCAATGCGAATAAAAAGGCTCCTCATACAAGTTTTTTAAATAATAATAATTCCCATGGGAAATAATATTGATGTTCCTATCTTCTAACCCAAAAAGTAAGTCTCCATGTGCATCATCTTTAACAGAGGGAGAAAACTACTATGTAATTTCATATAGCAGTTGGATCAAGTTAAATTGTTTCTGGAAGAGTTGTGTTTTACTTTTCATAAGAAGTTAGG